TTCTAGAAGCTTATGAAGCGTTAGGGTACGATCACCTCATATTAATAAGATGTTCATTAAACATTTCTATAAAAAAATTAACAAAGAAGGTATGATCATAAATGAAGTTTGATGCATGTCTGATCTGATGTACATTTCATGCTTTTTTTTTTCATGAAGCCATGGCTTCCCAGGAAGAGCATCAGAAAAATGAGGCAGTCGAGAAACCCTCAGAAATTGATGTAGTTGAGAAACCCTCAAAAATTGATCTAGTTGAAAAATTCGTCAATCAGGTCGGAGAAAGTTCTGTGGTCCTGCCGCGTGTTGTGCGGATTCACTTGCCGGACTCATCTAGTGACGATGAGGAGAAGGTTGAAGGAGAGAAGTCCGAGCGACATGAAAGGACGTGTGTAAAGGAGATAATCATCGAGAATGGAAAGACCACGGTCATCTCAAAGAAGATGTCCAGAGAGAAGAAAGATATAAAGCTGCTGCAAGAAAATGCAAAGAAAAGGATTCACGTACCAGAGTCCGACGCCACAGACTCATCTAGTGACAATGAGGAGAAGGTTGAAGGAGAGAAGTCCAAGCGACATGAACGGATGTGTTTAAACGAAACCATCATCGAGAATGGAAAGACCCAGGTCATCTCAAAGAAGAAGTCCAATGAGAAGAAAGATGTAAAGCTGCTGCAAGAAAATGCGAAGAAACGGATTTGCGTACCGGACTGTGATGCCACAGACTCATCCAGTGGGGATGAGGAGAATGTTGAAGGAGAAAAGTCCAAGCGACATGAACTGACGGGTGCCAAGGAAATCGTCATTGAGAATGGAAAGACCCAGGTCATTTCAAAGAAGAAATCCAAAGAGAAGAAACATAAAAAGTTGCTGCAAGAAAATGTGAAGAAACGGATTCACGTGCTGGACCATGACACAACAGACTCATCTAGTGACGATGAGGTGAAGGCTGAAAGAAAGAAGTCACAGCAGCAGGAAAAGTCATGTGCAAAGGAAATCACCTTTGAAAATGGAAAGACCGAGGTCATTTCAAAGAAGAAATCCAAAGAGAAGAAAGATATAATGCTGCTGCAAGGAAATGTAAATAAATACCGAGGGGTTAGACAGCGCAAATGGGGCAAGTGGGCAGCAGAGATTCGAGATACAAGAAAGAGAACTCGAACTTGGTTGGGAACTTATGACACTGCTTATGAAGCTGCTTTGGCTTATGACAAGGCGGCCATTGAAATAAGAGGTGCTAATGCTTTGACAAACATCATCAAGCCGCCACCACGAAAGGAGATCAACATCATCTTCAAGATACCATCTTTACCCACCGATGATGCTAGGGTTTGATAAAGCTTCCCAACTTTACTGTACCTTTTTTCGATTGGTAAACTTGGAAGTTCCCAACTAATTGGTATGTTCTTTTTCTTAAAGCATGTGATATGACCATGACATGTTTTCCGGAACATTATGAACAAAGAAGCTTCTGTATTTATCACTCTGTTCTACTCTCCTTCCTTCAAGTTTGTGGAACAGGGGATTGGTAATGCTTTTTATATTTGCTGCGTGTTTTTTATGTATAGGTAACTGCTGCTTGCATTGTTAACTGGTTTATACTTCATTTTGGATGTTTCTCTTTTCTATAGTTCAGTCGGATATGTGTGTTGAAGGAAATAACTAATTACCATAGTGAACATGTCGATAATAAATGCCATGCATGAAAACATGTAAAGATTAACGTGTATATTTTAGTACCTTGGACGTGAATTCAAGTTTAGTTGTATCTGCTTATGTTACTATATATGACATTTTTGACGTGATTTCATCTGTATTACGCACTCTTGTGAATCAAGCAAGGTTATTGTGATCCTTCAGGATACTCCCAAGTTCATGAAGTTTAAGTGCTACATGATTTGAGAAGAAGATACTAGGCACAATTGCTACTAGCACTCTTTAAACAGTCGTGCATTTGGTTCTTGTACACAACAGAGTTGAGTTGATCTTCCACTTTTATAGCCCTATCTTACTGTAAAGGACTGCTGCCCTTCCTTTATCTTTCCTAAGCCGAGGGTCTTTTGGAAGCAGTCTCTCTGACTTCTTGAAGGCAGGGGTAAGGTCCGAGTACATACTACCCTTCCCAAATCCTACTTGTGGGATTACATCGGGTCTGTTGTTGTAACTGGAAAGGACATGTGACAATCCATATACATTAATTTAGTTTACTTTTACCTTTTTCCATATGGTTTTTGCATATTATCAAACTGTTATTTATCTGGATTAAAGGAAGATCTTTTAGTTATGTTTTATAGGATATTTAATTAAATTTTAGCTGAATGTGTGGTGCTTTTTGCAAGAAGTTGGTATCTCACCCATTGACAGAATTCTTGTTCCAATTCTGTCCTTGAGAAAACCAACCTTGTCTCTGTGTGTGTGTGTCTCCCACTGTTATACAATATCCAGTTCATTAAATAAATCGTTCTGTGGCACTGTGGCATTCATCGTTTTTCCAAGGGGTCTTCTAGTCCTGTCAGTAGTTATACGCCAGTGAAATATAGATAATTTCTATCACTTTTATTTTTCTTTAATTTTAAGTTTAGTTTATATAATATTAAACCGAGATGAGCTTAAATTGGGGTGTCACGGATAATAAGAATTCATATACTCGAAACAAGTTGCTTGGGATCGAGGCTTAGTTGTTGTTTTCCTGCTTATGATTTCCAGCAACAGTAGCACAAAATTGCTATACTTAAGCGAAATAAACCTTAGTTTATAAGAAAAAAGTTGACTGTATATTTCTAGTTTCATGGAATTTTACGACATTACTGAAGCAAATTATACATTCGCAAGGAGCTTCTTTCTTCCTTGCAATACTTTGAGAAACATAACTGTAAAACACTATCAAACCAACTATCACAATGTTTATACTCAAATCAATATATTTCTTCATCAAAATGAATTACAGTCAGATATCTCTATAGTGTATCCCTATATAACAACACTTCACTATTAAAGCCAAGCTTTTTCGGAACCAAATTTCATGTTATGTTAAAATATGTGTTCTCTATAACAGCACTTCGATTTAACATCCAAAAATATTCGGAACAAATGACATTGTTATAGAGGTTTGACTGCAATTGCGAGTTTTGGCCAATTTTGCACAGTTCTCACAGAATCTAAGTGCCTACCAAATCTTACATCAGTTGTCCCTTTTAGTTTTTTTTAACTGTTGGAAGAAAAACATAAAACTACAAGAAAATCAATAAATATATTTTACCTTAAAACACAGTAACTGACAAGATCAGTGTTCCAACCCTATAAAATTTGCAAAAAAGAGCAGTTTCTGTGGGGTGCCACTTGCATATCATGCAAGTTTTAGTATTACAAATGTAGCCACAAAGAGACAACAATCAACCAGCTGCCACCTTCTTATATACTCTGATATATCATAACTGAAACCACACAGAAAGAAGATTCAGAAAATCAGAGAGAGAGAGACAGATTTTGAGTTTCTTGATTTTTCAAGCTAGGTATGTTCTATAAATTCTCAGATTTTGTGCTGTTTAGTTAATTTTTTGATGTGTGATTTTAATTCTGTGTGCTTCTACACGCACAAAAACACACATTTAAACTTATATGTCTAAATTTCAGTGATGGATTTATGACTTTTATTTTTATTTTTTTTTATTTTTTTATTTTATGTATGTACTGATTTTTTCTGTTTGAAACACTAGAGGAAGATGGACATCCTTTCCTCTCTCTCTTAATGAAATAGATATAGATGTTTTTGACTGCTGAATCCTTATAAACAACTCGATTCTGTTGATTTACTGTCTATTTTTCCTTTAGGGTTTTAACTGTTAAGTGAATCTAAAAGTTTTAAGTGAGTTGGTGTTTTGCGTCAATGGATGCAAAACTTGACATAAATAATACTACGTGTTTTTAAAGAATTCTTAAATATATATAGTTCGAGCTGAAGATAATAGATGCTTATGGTAACGATTTTAAGTGAATCTAAAAGTTTTAAGTGAGTTGGTGTTTTGTGACAATGGATGCAAACCTTAACATAAATAGAACTATATGTTTTTGAAGAATTCTCAAGTTTTATATAGTTCGACGTGAAGATAATAGATGCTTATGTTAAAGATTTTAAGTGAATCTAAAAGTTTTAAGTGAGTTGGAGTTTTGTGACAATGGATACAAACCTTAACATAAATAGAACTATATATTTTTAAAGAATTCTCAAGTTTTATATAGTTCGACCTGAAGATAATAGATGCTTATGTTAAAGATTTTAAATGAATCTAAAAGTTTTAAGTGAGTTTGTGTTTTGTGACAATGGATACAAACCTTAACATAAATAGAACTATATGTTTTTGAAAAATTCTCAAGTTTTATATTGTTCGAGCTGAAGATAATATATGTTTATGGTAAGAATTTTAAATGAATCTAAAAGTTTTTAGTGAGTTGGTGTTTTGTGGCAATGGATACAAACCTTAACATAAATAGAACTATATGTTTTTGAAGAATTCTAAGTTTTATATAGTTCTAGCTGAATATAATAGATGCTTATGTTAAAGATTTTAAATGAATCTAAAAGTTTTAAGTGAGTTGGTGTTTTGAGACAATGGATACCAACCTTAACCTAAATAGAACTATATGTTTTTGAAGAATTCTCAAGTTTATATAGTTCGAGCTGAAGATAATAGATGCTTAGGGTAAATGTGTATCCGCGTGCTTTCATGATGGAAACGTGTTCGTTATTTATTTATTTTTTCCATTTTTTCTTTCACAGGGCACGAGTTTCTTGGAGTTGGAGGTTTGCTTCTTTGTTTGTTTGTGCCTTTTTTTATTTACATTCATTCGAGAAACTTATGATAGTTAGGGTACGATCACCTCATATTGATAAAATGTTCATTATCCAATTATAGAGAAAAAATAAAGAAAGAATTTCTGATCATAAATTGAACTTAATGTACATCTAACGTACTTTGTTTTTTTCTTTCCTTTCATAAAGCCATGGCCTCCAAAGAAGAGCATCAACAAAATGAGGCAATCGAAAAACCCTCAAAATCAACCAACCAAGTCGGGGAAAGTTCCGCTATCCTACCGCCTCTTGTACGGATGCATGACACCCCTAACGAGGAGGAAGAGAAGACGGAAGGAGAGAAGTCAGAACGACATGAAAAGACGCGTGAAAAGGCAATCATCATCGAGAATGAAAAGACTGAGGTCATTTCAAAGGAGAAGACGAAAGAAAAGAAGCTGATGCAAGGAAATGCGAAGAAGTACAAGGGAGTTAGACAGCGAAAATGGGGCAAATGGGTGGCAGAGGTACGCGATACAAGAAAAAAGAATCGGATTTGGTTAGGAACTTTTGACACTGCTGAAGAAGCCGCTTTGGCTTATGACAAAGCGGTCATTGAAATGAGAGGTGTTGATGCTATGACCAACATCCTCAAGCCACCACCAAGGGAACCACCACCAAAGGAAATCAACTTCATTAATCCACCACCATCTTCATCTAAAGATGATGCTAGGGTTTGAGAAAGATGATGCTAGGGTTTGAGAAATTTATGCTTTACTGTTTAAATGTACTACTTTATATGAACTAGTAAATGTGGCTAACTCCCAACTTTCTTTTTTCTTTAAAAGTATGTAATATGACATGTTTCCTAGACAATAGTGAAAAATAAGCTTCTACCTTTATCAATCTCTCTCTCTTTTTTGTGTGTGTTAATAAAGGTATTTATTTAACTAAATTAAAGCTAAGTAGCATGACATAAGTCTCACAACAACATCCCATAGGGATCAGATCCATGTAGTAGGATATAGATGCAGACCTATGTTGTAAGAGAGATCACCGACGTCCGAAATATTCAGCAAAAGTTCCACATATACATGTATATGTCTTTAAAAAAGAGTGATAATATTAGTAGTGACAGCCTATATACAAAGCAGATTTGGTTGAAGAGAAAAGTGCACCCGTAACCTAAGCATTAGTACAAAAACATTGAGGAAACCTAAAACTAGCCAAATTATTACACAAACTTTTCGTAATAGTCTTCTTTTCTTGCAAAAAGAGAGTTAAGTTAAAACGAATTTCGTTACGAATTTAATACAAACTAACTGAATTAGTTGGAAATTTCAATAGATAATTATATTAATACTCCAGATATATTTTATTTCCTTCTTCTCACTAATTATCCATTGTCCATGCCTTATTTGTCCTTTAATAAGGGTCTTAATTAGGAAATTAAATTAAAACAAATGTCGTTTTTTTTTTCTGCGATTCATTCGAGGATTTAAATATGTTTTATTTTTATTTTTGTGGGATTTGAACATGTCAATGTCTTTAGATGTATAGATCCTTTTTTACTCTTCTTGCAAATTTTATAGGGTTGAAAAACTGATCTTGTCAGTTACTGTTTGTAAGGTAAGAAACAGTTATTGATCTTCTTTTACTTTTATGCTTTTCTTCCAATAGTAAAAAATCTAAAAAGAAGAGCAGTGGATATTATTTGATTCCTACAATGCTACAAAGTCCATACACAGAATCTGCACATTATATGCACAATTCAAAAGTCAAAATGATTGTTCACCTCAATTTGAGTTACATACATTACAACACACCAGACAGTCTATTTGTGTTGGAGACATAATTAAATAAATAAAAGTATATTGTTTCTAACAACTTAACCTTTTAGATGGTTGCTCACACTTCAATATGGTAGCAGAGCAAACAAAGGTTCAGAGTTCGAGGCCCACTGTCACCCAATATCAAAAAGAACTTTTACATGCTTGACTCATAAAAAAAATCAGAGTCGTGTTGGAAACATAATTAAATAAATATTAAAAATGTGTTCTTTCTAATAACTTAAACTTTTAGATAGATAGTCTCACCCTTCTAACATACTCTTCTAACATAGTGGAACAAGAAAACATCTTAAAGGAGGCTAATAATATGAAAAAAGCCAATTGAGATAAGAAGATTTATATGACCAGATAATTACAGAGAAAAGGAAAGAATAACAACAAAAGACAACAAATTAAAGCAATTAATAGTGGTGATATAATTATTCCTCTGAGCTAAAATCTAAAACCCATTGCTAACCTTTCATTATCAAGATCAAGGCACAAAATCTCAGCAGCCTGAGCTATCTAGCAATGGTACATTAGTAAAAGTTAACTAGAGACAAAAGGAGGGATTGACGTATCGATGTCTTTAGATAAAAAGGGAAAGGATATTACATATATGTTAATTCTAGTGCGAAAAGGAGCAAAGCTAATTTCCTTTAGAGTAAATTGGCGCATAAAAAGAAAATTGCAACAATTTTTGTTTGCCATACTTTTTTGTTTTGTAACGATGGATCGATAGAATGGAGTATTTCATGAAATTCAAATAAAGCAATCAAATTTGCAACCATTTTCTTAGGAACATTTGTATTATGAAAATTTATCATAAACTAAGTAGCTTTATATTATGCATCAAAAAAGAAAAGGCATGGATATCACATGATGGGTTCGTAATGATTTTCGTCAAATCTAATAAAGACAGTAACAAACAGGAAATAGAGTTGAAAATTGAGCCGAGTTAGTTTGGAATTGAGGCGTAACAAAAGAATTTAAGTTCTGAGCAGAAATTATATTTATCCACCCGGTGAAAACTAATAATAACCGGTAGCTACATAATAAACTGAGAATGACACCAGGTAACCACTTTTAAGCATGTTATTTAAAATATATCCACAGTTTACAATGTATCTAAAGAGTAGTCAATTTCTCTCAATCTTCAGGACACGACGTCCTAAAGTTTAAACCTCAAAATTCAAACTTCAGGACATCGTGTCGTAAAGTTCGAAAATTGTGTTCTGAAGTTCGAATCTGATGTCCTGAATTTTAAATTAGTAGTTCAAAAATTCACGACACTTAATCCTGAATTTCAAATTAGTAGCTCAAAAATTCAGGACACTAAGTCCTGAATTTCTAAATTTAGGATACTTAGTCCTGAAGTCCTAGAGTTTAAACCTCAAAATTCAAACTTCAGGACATCATGTCCTAAAGTTCGAATCTTATGTCCTGAATTTTAAATACGTAACTCAGAAATTCAGGACACTTAGTCCCGAATTTCAAATTAACACCTCAAAAATTCAGAATACTAAATCTTGAATTTTCAAATTCAAGATACTTAGTCCTGGAGTTTGGGTGAATTGGCTAATCTTTAAATACATTGTAAATGTTGGATATATTTAAATAGCGGCTTTGAAAGTGGCTATTACTGCACTTCGCCCAAAATAAACCATACAATTCATAGCCCAAAACCAATCATAACGGCCAACAACTATTAGCCCACAAAAGCGGGAGACTGTGACTCCTGAACACATACTCTTGTATTTGCACGGGCCCCCTATTTGGTCGTCCCCATTTAACCTATACTCACTTTTTAAAAAAGTTTTAACTTGTACCCATTGTTTAAACAACTTCAGGCCTCTTTCTCCTCCTCCTTCGTTTTCTGAATGCTGAAGATTGAGATATTGTTATGCGTTCTAGCCTAATGATTCATATATATCTGCTTGTCCCATTATGTTCAGTTTGGTCTTATTCACAATAATTTAACCTCTTAGATATTTTAGCTTTACATGCACATTGATTTTTGGTTCTAATTTATCTGTAGTAACCTATTTTCATGTCGAAAATATTTTTCATCTTTAATCTTTGAAATGAACAGCATCAATCGCTACTAATCATGATCTATTAAATTCACTGTTATTTTAGAACTTCAGCTCTAAGAATGTTGATGTCACGACCCAAAAATCCACCAAGGATCGTGATGGCGCCAGACATCACTGTCAGGTAGGCCAACACCAAATAACTAGAAATTTCTTGATTTATAATATTTTGAAATCATTCCTTTTTAAACATTAAACAATTAACAAAGAATTCTAGTGAATAATTAATGATGTCTTTAACAAACTTAAATACTGAATAATCCCTTAGTCATCCCAGAACCCGGTCTCACAAGTGCATGGGTAATTTCTAGGGAACAATGTAATACATTAACCGTCCGGAATACAAATTGGACAATACAGAAAATATAATACACTACTCTGAAGGAGACTCTGCTGGCTGCGGGCCGTCTCAAGAAATGCAGCTCACCCCAGTCTCCGTATCAACCATGCCACTGCGCCAAACTAAGACATAAGGCAAACATGTGCTTGTGCAACAAAACTACACAGCAAGTGTAGCATGAGTACAAAAATAACGTGTACCCAGTAAGTATTCCGCCTAACCTCGAAGAAGTAGTGACGAGAGGTCGACTTCGACACTTACTAGTGGTCCAATGATATCAAATACAGTAAAGAAGTGAATAAACATGAAGCAGAGTACACATATTAAACAAACATGTATAAAATACATGAAACAATTCACTTCTTTACGACTATACTCAAGCTCTCAACTAGCATGTTCCCTCCGTAACCGTGGCATATACATAAATGTATAATGGCTTTCATAAAATGGTTGTTATAATTTCAAATTAGGGAAAGATCCTCAGATACACTGGCTTCTAACCAAATGTTCAGCACGAGTTCCATAAGAATGATGTGTGTGTATATATATAAAATGCTAAGGCGTACGGCCCGATCCAACATAAAAGTAAAATATGCACTTCCGAGGGTCGAACGACGCGAACCATATATGCATCTATTTCCCTGCTCGCGAATCATACATGCGACGCAGTCCCTACTCGCGAATCATACGTGCGATGCAGTCCAATTGCTTCAACTTCAGCTTCCAACACTTCTCTGTGTCATGCCCCGGGGCGTCTGAGCAATATGCGCACCTTTGAGAAAAAGTCAAACTTCTTTGACAGAGGGTTTGGCATTTTTATATGAATCGGCTTCAACATGTCCAATTGCTTCAACTTTTGGAACAAACCGGCATATGATCCTCCAACAGGGGTGAAAGCCTTTTCTTTTTTCAGCAACCTCTCCTTCTTAAATGCTTGATTGGGCCGGAAACCTGATCCAGAGGGCTTTTAGTAGGCTCGTGAGGGTGGATAATCATTTTGTGGAGCTGGGTACTGGGAAAGTGAAGCATGTTTTTGGGAGTCCCGTGGAGAGAAGTAGCGTTGGGGAGGGGAGTAGTGTTGACGAGTGATGGAGCTACTCGGGTGGCTGGGAAATCTATTATAAGTGGGTTGAGATGGAGAGTATGTGAGATCATCCATTATGGTATTGGGTGCTTGGGTAAGGACAGAGTACAAGAAGCTAGGCGGTGGCGAGGGTGGTGCTTTCCCAGTCATCCATGCCTGATACATGTCTGCCACATGCTGTCTTAACATTTTTACCTCTTTTACCAACTCATAGTCCTGTTCAACCAACCGCTTTCGGGCATCGGTACCAACCCACTTAGCTCTGTTGTTCTCTGCCATTGTCTTTTGCCTTTGTGTTGCAGGGAAGCGTTACTTTCAGAACCACAACCAACCACCTTTCTAAAGATTTGAAAAGGGAACAAAAATGAGAGCAACCGGTTAGCGTTAGGGTTTTTCACAGACAGGAAAAACACACATTGAGGATGCAATGCAACTAGGCAGTTAACCCTTTCTATCATGCATTTGCTTCAGTTAC